AATACAAACAAATATATTTACATAAATTCAACTAGTTAAAAAACAAATTTATTGAATTACAAATAAAGTTTATAAAAATTAAAAACAAAAAATAACAAGCCGCTAGATAAATTTAATTATAAAAATAGACAAAACTGAACTTATACTAATAGATAAAGCATTAGTTTGGTGTAACTATGGTTTGTCTTTGCATATGTCCTAGCTACAATTGACAAATCACTACAATGTTCTGTTTATTAGTTCAAGGTCTATAATTACAAAGAACTTAAAAATACTGATATAAAACTTCAAAAATTAAAACAGTCTTGTTCTTTATTCAGAGATCAAAAACCTAATACAGTGCTTAAAAAAGGCCTAATTTTGAGCATTAAAAAATACTTATAATAAAGTAGTTATTAGAATCACAGCCTGGACATGAAATATATCATTTTATCTTACATATTTATTTATCTATCCGAGAATATATTGCGTAATATGCTAAAAGTATACTAATGTATAATATTATTAAAAAAAATATAAATACATTTTTATGAGTAAAAATTAACGTAAAATTAAATTTTAAATCAAAACAATTGTAATTTAAGTTTAAATTTTGAATTACATATTTTATTAAGACATTTAATATATTGAAATTTTCAATTTTACTTTTTAAGACCACTAAATTTTAAGTTATTGTTTAAGGGTACTATAGTTTGTTTAGTTTTAAGCATATAAATACGAACAAATTTTAGAATGACCATATTTTTAAAAGCATATGAAAAATCAATCAGTGGCGTCATTTGGGAGGAGGCAAGATAAGCATTTGAAACTCCCTCCTTATAATATTACTTGGCTGCTATCTRACCAGGTACGAAATTATAGTGCTAGTTTTAGGCCGCAAGCCCAAAACCATAATTCATGTCAGTGATAAATGCAATTTAACCATGCTTCGTGGTTTGTGGAAATAAGTAAATAATTATTGAATATTTGCATATTATAATTTCTAATTCAAGTATATTAGATAATAGAAGAATAATAGTCTATAACACAATGGTAGATAATATACTACAATCCTGGTCTGTGAGTATTTAACAGATACAGTCATTCAGCTTCCGTGTTTAATATTATTTGTCATTTGGATTAATCATTGTTAGACTTTCAATTTTATACATCAGAAGATGACAAATAATCTATATAATATTGAGAGAAAAATGTAATAGTAATGGTTGGCGAGCAGTTTCCTTTTCAGTTTTATAATGACCCTGTGTTTTATTACTCCCCCTTCTCACAAAATCTGAAATGACACCACAGAAAACAATCGGGAATTTTACACCGAATATGGTAAATTTTTAATCAGTGCACTTTTTTATGCACAATACAATGAATATTATGGTCAATAGTTTCAAGCTACTCGAACAATATTTTTTGCATAGTTGAATTTTGTTTTATTAACAAGTCTACTGTGTTTAAATCAAAGCAATTTTGAACATTGCAAAAAATGTTAAAAATAAAAATACAATTATCAACTTATAAAAATACAATAATTATAATAATTTATARTTTAACTGAAAAAACTTAAGCATAACTAAATTAATCACCACCAATTACAATAAATACGGACTATACCAACAGCAAAGTAGTGATGAAAAAGGCACACACAGCAACAGGTGAAAC